TCGGTATCGACCAAAATGTTCATAAATGTTCAGAGGTGCATCCCTAATGTATATATATATATATATATATATATATATATATGTATATATTATATATATATATACAGCATAATCAAAATATTTCAATAATTACTGGGGATCCATGAAAGTATTTTTTTATATATATATATATATATATATATATATAAGAAAATACTTTCATGGATCCCCAGTAATTATTAAGATATTTTGATTATGCTGTATTTACTTGACTAATGACTTGTTTCTCTTAATATAGTGGGTTGGTGCCAAACAGCATGAGCTGCAGGTGAACTCTATGCAGTTACTGTATTATCAGGCACCCATGTCGTCTGCATTTCTCCTGATCCTGGTGCCGTTCTTCGAACCCCTAAGCGGAGAGGGTGGGATCTTTGGCCCCTGGTCATTTCAGGCTCTGGTAAGAGAGCGAGTGCTCTCACTGGCTCACACACTCCCTCTCTAACTATCCAAAGGAATGTCCTTCTTACACAAACACACAGTCACAGAGAAAGCCTTGTGTAATTGCCCAGATTTACTGGGAAAAGTTTTACTCCAGTCTATTGCGTAAAATTTGGTTCACAAAGCTCAATTTAAGATACTTTTTAAGATCAATTACAATTGATTTTTTTTTCTCCCCTTCATCAAGGTTATGGTTCTGCTGTCTGGTGTTATAGCCTTTCTGGTTAATCTGTCCATTTACTGGATCATTGGGAACACGTCTCCTGTCACGTATCCTTTCTGCTACTTCTCCAAAATACCAACAGCTGTGGCTATTTCCTTCTCTTCTATTCATGGTGCAAAACACACCCTATTGACAAATATCTGTGAACAGTGCTCTATAACATTACTTGTCTGTTAAATTGTCAGGTTAGGCCTATAATGCGAGCACATGTTTGCTTACAGAGCCTGGGCAAATAGTTAAAGCATAGTTATGCACTTGTTTAATAATGAAAGAGGGCGCTGTAAATCAAGGCACTTATTTGTTGCCTTGAGCCATACTAGAAACGTTTCATAGTTTTGAATACACCCATTGAAAGTGAGTTTATGAGTGAGACCTCTCTCAAAACAAGCAGCAGAGGGAGCACTTTACTATCTTGTGTTTTAAACTGCACTTTTGGGCCACTTTTAGGTAAGTGTTCTGTCAACCAAGGGATTTCAAGCTGCTTCTTTAAAAAAAAAAAAAAAATGTTTAAAGCCAAGGATCTGGAATTATAATGTATATACATTTCTATTACTAAGTATTAACTACGACTTTTGCCTCAAGCTCACAATTACTGCTGCTTATTAATAGTTAGTAAGGTAGTATTGGTAGGAATATGTGATATTGAATATGGTAAAAAAAAAAAAGGCATTAATATGTGGTTTATAAATAGTAATAAACAGCCCAATATCCCAGTCTAGTGATATGCATGCTAATGAGCAACCAGTTAATAGTGAGAATTGGACCCTAAACTAAAGTATTACCATTTATGTATAGGTTTATTTAACACTGATTTTTATGTCCAAAAATTAGTTTTTTTAAAACAAAACAAAAAAAAACTGTTATTTTATCACTTGATTATACTTGTTATACATTTTTAACATTTTTACATATTCACAAGACTGATTTAGCCAATTATAAATATTATAAATAACATGTGTTATTTTATTAAGATTAAAGTTATTTTAACGAATTTTATTAACTTTTCACATATATTCACAAGACTGATAAAACCATAAATCAATATTAAATATAGCATCTGTTTTTATCAGTTTTATTATCCATTTTTTTTCTTATTTTGAAAAGATTTATTAATATTTACATATTCACAAGTCTGATAGAGCCATAAATCAATATTAAAAATAACATCTGTTATTGTATTAATACATTTAACTTATTTTTATTAACGTTTATGCATTCACAAGACTATAGCCATAAATCAATATTAACAGATTTTACTAATTTTGAACATACTTTTTTAAAGTATATTCACAAAACTTAAATAAATGAATAATACAAGTAACAGTAACACTTTACAATAAGGTCTCATTTGGTAACATTACATTAACAAACATAACAATGAGAAATATTTTTACAGCATTTATTTAACTTTTTAATATTAGTTAATATTCTTTTAGTTATTTTTTTATATTTAAAATGTTCAAGTTCACATTTGCTAACAGTGCTAACTAATGTTAACAGATACAACTTTTAATCTTAAAAAAGGTTTTAGTATATGCCAAGAATAACATCATAACAATTGTTTTAGAAGTATTGTTCATTCTTAGTTCCTTTTACCTAATGTAATTAACTAATTAAACTTTATTGTAAAGTGTTACCAAATAACATACTATGTACTTATTATAGCAATTACAATAACTGGGTTATAACTACTAACCCTGAACCTTCCCCCTAACCTTAACCCATAGTTACATTATATTACCAGTACTTTCTTGGGTACTTTCTGTATACACGTACTGTGAAATGAAGTGTAAGCATATTTTATTTATTTATTTACAGATTTATTAGCTTTTTTAAATATCAACTATAAAACACAAAAACCCTAACTATAAATGGTCCAAAGAATGTTAACGTTCATAAAGAATCATTTTGAAGCTTTATGAGTGCATGACTCAACTCTGAAGTGACTCAAGTAAGTCAAGTCTGTGACTCAAGTGTGAGTCATAAGCCTCAAGAGATCTCAAAAGTCATTGTCAAATAGGATTCCTTAACATTTGTTTTTAAAGCTACAACATGTTTGGGCACTTCAAGTTCTGCATCACATTACTGGGTGGGTATGTTCTGTTCCAGGACCCCTTGTCCTTAAACCAAGGGCTGGGCATCCTCTGCACCCTCACTGGCATCCTTGCATACACCCATTTCAAACTGGCAGAGCAGGAGGAGGGCAAAAGCAAGCTCACACAGAGACCATAGGCCTGCAGGTGTGCCGATCTGCAAGACAGACAGTGTTCAGTGCCTGATGCTTTCAAGAAATATATGGCAGGCGCTCTTGCACAGGAGCGTGAAGACTAACCAAAACGTAGACTGGAAGAACGGTTGAGGCTGAGAACTTTAGCATTTCTATCTTTTTAAGAGTTAAAATCAGTATTTGAAATAAATATGCTGAACGTCTGAGAGAAAAACTCTGAATGTTGAAGCATTTCTTTCTTATTTTGTATGTATTTTCAAATGGTCTGTACAACAATAAAACTTTTATAGAAATTTACAGAGAACTTTTTTGGTCACATTTTTTAAAGATGGAATGTTATCTTGTATGGAGTCTAGTTACAACTTTGAGGACAAGGGTCACTGCCTACTTGGCAAAAAGATGCAAGTCTTTTGCTGTCTATGAAATGGAATGTCAATCATTTGTTAAGTTCATGTTGAGGGGTTTTCTACATGCTTTTCTCTTTTGCAACTTAAAGATTAATCTCATTCCAAAGTCCAGTCTCCAATCTAGATGTTTCACTGCTTTCTGCGCAGTTTCAAAAGGATATGGTAAACCAAAATGCTGAAAATATGGGGACAGTTCACCCAAAATGACATACTTTCAAATAAAGAAGATATTTTGAGAGATTTATCAAGAGTGTTTTCAATCATACTCAAGTTGATGACCTTCAATATGTATATCTCAATGTTCTTCAAAATATTTGTGTTCCACAGAAGAAATACATTTGTAATGACATAGGGGGGAGTAAATGATGATAGAAATGTCACTTTTTGTTTAACTATCCCTTTAATGCCTTTAATTTTTTAAATGCTTTAACTTTAATCTTTAGGACTTGTCTTTATCCTTACTACCTTTAATTAAATTATTGGCTTTTTTTGATGACTTCAGTGGTCCATGGAATTTCCTCATTATTACAGACGTACAAGCCCAAACATGTTGAGCGTAAAGGAACATGTTGCACTAAAATAACCTCTTGAGTCATTCTGCTTGGGCCCTAAAGATCAGATCCTGTCACAGGGACCGTACAAGAGATGTTTTCAAAGCATTTGTCCTCAGCACCGATTTCACTCGGCAAACAATACCTACCCTAGCTTCTGTGTAGTTGGCTAACCGATGGTATACAATTCACAATAGTGTACAAGGGTCATGTTACAACAGTCATCATTACTCAATAAGAAATCAAAACTGATGAAAGGGATTTCAGTTACAATAGAACCATGCATAATAGTTCAATAATCAAAGGAGGAAATCATTATCTAGTAGTTTAATTAGAGATGCATTTAGCCTAATGTTTTCAAGTGATCATAAACACTATCACTAAATAACTACGTAACAATAAAATGAAAGTAAGTGATAACATATCATATAACAATCAAAACATGGACTGAATTGAACCCAAGAGCATTAGGTAAATTAAATTGTATATTTAATTCAAAACAAGTATGTGAACTATATACTTTAAAGCTTTTAAAAAGGCAGGATAGAGCTTATAAAATGTGTAGAACGTGTCTGATTTCTGTCACCTAACTTTTATAAAATCAAGTATCTCAATGTTTTTAATCTCTAAACAAAAATCAAACCAACTTTGCCCTGAATTGCTCATTTTCAATATGTTTTTAAATAGGCTACAACTTTTTAAATAGCAAATATGGTCAAGCAGAGAATAACTTTCTACAAGTAAATGTAATAATAATAATAATAATAATAATAATAATAAAACACAGCAGCAAAAACGATATTATATATTAAAACAAGGAGACAAAAAACTTTACAACACAGATAACGCTCAATCCTATCTTAAGAACCTGAAAATATAAAAGCGATTTTACAATTTTAAAACCGAGCAACTTTAAACCCATACACAGTAAAACAGCAAGAGTAGAAAGTGTAAATAATATTCAACTCGAGTGTATTGTGTGATGTTTACACCCCGCGTTTAGTGCACGTGCAAGAACATTTCAAATTCAAACGGTCGCCAGTAGAGGGAGTTAGAGTTCGCGTCTCTCAACGGCCACCAGCAGGTAAGACAGATTATTAACACTTTCAGTTTAACAATTTCGCACTTTCTCATATATTTATTACACCTATCAGGTTGAATATATCTGCAAAACGCCCCACCTTATTATTTTAACACGGAATGAGACTTTAATATCCGTTTAGTCGCCTGAAATCCTTTGCCTCAGTTAGCCTTGCGCTAGCTCTAAGCGAGGCCTACTGCAGCCTCGGGTTTTCCTGAGTGTCCACGGCGGGAAACAACACACCCGCGGGAGCGCGCATTTGTGGCGTTGTAACATCAACAGCAGCAAAGTTCTTGTCGCTCAAATAAGCTACACTCCACATTCGTCGAGAAGCATTTTATGTTGATTATTTAGTACAATTAATTACGGAAGAGTAACGTAAGTTACGTAACGTAAACAAATACAGCAGCGGCTTGCGTGACGTTTATGCTGAATTGAATCAGTCAATTCGCCGATATTTACAGAACTTTAGAAAATAACGATGTAAACTTCGTCAAATATGAGACAAATTCAAATGCATACGTAAAACAACATTCACACGTCGATCTATTTACATGTTACCTCTGGGGGAAAGTTCCAGGTTTTATAATAATCATGCGCAGCTATTTGAATGGAGGAGATATTCCCACTCAAGCACGCAGATTTCAGATATAAATCCAGGTTGTTGTTGTGTTTTAGTGTGCAAGTTAACGTTACTACTGTTTGCAGAGCATTTCAGATAAATAAACAAAGCACTGTCGTATTCCAAAGACATTTGGAGCTTTACTCGCATGACATCCATCCATCCGTAGAACTTGTAACGTAAATGATGAACTTTTGGTCTTTTTGGTTAGTTTATTTTGTTTATTTGACTGAGACAGAGGCTCTATTAATCCTGGCTGGTCATCATCGCTTTGGTCCAAACACTTCGTTATTTCACCTGTCACTGGGCTGATAAGCTTCAAAATCCATGTGCTTAGCCAGCAATGGTTGGGTGGGTGTAGTAGTCGGGACATGCCCGGGCATGATCGCAGAGACGCACAGACAGCTCAGCAAAGATCGTCTTCCACCACTAGGAGTCGGAAGCCAGTCACGCTTTGACTTGTCATGCCCTAACCCGCCCAGGACATGATGATCGGTGCTGTGGATTCTAGCCCTGACATGTCTCTCTGCGTCTATTTAAACCATAGACTGGCTCTCAGCCGGCTCCCACTCCACACTAACCCAGAGCTCAAGCACTTTATGTACAGCTAGCAGAGTATATTTAGAGGATTTTTAGGTAGAATATCCAATTTACCTCCATTTGCACAGGTAATGTTTTTATTTCTGAAGTTTTTATGTGTGCTGAATTGCTTCTGATTTGTTTTACGTAACACCTGTTTATTTGTTTACAGATCACTACAAATATGGCAACAGAGAGTTGTTTAAGCAGTTCTCAGATCAACAAGGTTGACAATGAAAAACTGGTAAATGCAGTGTTCTTTTGAGTATTCAAATGTGTTCTTATGCCTTGAAATGACTTATTTATTGTAACTTCCTTAGGTAAGACCAAAGTTGCAGTTAAAAAGGCTGTTAGAGGATGCAGGTGCAGATAAAGATGTTTTCACTATGAAGGAGGTGAGGAGATGTGTCTGTTGACAACAGTTTTTAGCCTAACTTTAGTCCATTAAAACTTTTAAGCATCAATACATACCATGCTTTATGGTGTTATTATTGCTAGAATTATGCTAGTTATTTTAGTAGCTGGACCTTGCCATATGTTTTGTGTGAATAGTCTTTCATTTAAGCACTTATTTGAGAGTTTCTAAAATGAGTGTGGTCATATGGCAGTGGTGTTTGAAATTGCTAGCTAAAATAATCCTCCAGTTTCATGTTGATGCTGCTCATTTGTGTGTATGGTTAAACCTGCATATCGTTTGTAAATATTCTAGGGCAGTGGGTGGTGAATTATATTTAGTTACTGACTTTATTCAGTGAGATATTCGTTCTTGGTGTTTGCAAGACAAGAATGTTTTTTTTTCTTTTCCCCACATTGCTCATTCTTTGCTTTAGGGATTTGGAAAAAACAAAAACAAAAAAAACCCGCTAACCCAAAGTATTATGCTTCAATTTGGGTTAGAGATGAATAATAATTCATATATTGCTGCTTATTACGTCAGTAAGTGGTCAGACTTAGGTTTTTGATTGCAGGATAATAGAATATGCAAAAGATCCTTTTTTGCATTAAAGGAAAGACCCGAGTAATGCCTTGAGACGTTAGGGGGGCTTTTTTTGAGTCAATCTGGTAAGAAACCATTCTGAACACCTTAGCAAATATATATATATATATATATATATATATATATATGGCAATAGGTTTTGCATGGACGATTAAAACTACAAAATTTAATTTCTGTCTTTCATTGGTAGTGTGGACTGTGCAGTAATATAGATAATCGGATAATGTGCTTACTTATGAAATGTAAAGTTTTTGATATATTTTCACCTGTTGTCAACTTTTTAGTGTAAAGCCATGAGTCATTTTTTTTTTTTTTTATGGGTGGAAGTTGTGTCTGACTAACAGGAACGTATTACTCATCTGTATTTAAATACCAGCCACATCTTTGTCATCCTCTCTCTCTACACACTTTTTTCAGAAAATGGTTCCTTGTGGATTTCTAAACTGTACTCTTTTGTTTATGTGTTTGTTTAGGTTATGTTTTATTTGGGGAAGTATATCATGAGCAAGGAGTTATATGACAAGCAGCAGCAACACATCGTTCACTGCGGAGAGGATGCTCTTGGTGCTGTTCTTGGAGTGAAAAGTTTCTCAGTCAAAGAGCCACGGTGCGTATTGACCCTAACTTCACTAAGACAGAAACAGCTGCAGCAATAATGAATGACCCCTGAGAATATCAGGGTGGGGCTTTAAAGCAACAGGTGGCAGCGTCTGTGATATTTCACCTACTAGCTCTGAATAAATCTGCTATCACCTGTTTAAGTTGCTGCAAAATATATTTGATTAGTTGACGAAAGAAATGTATATGTATGTATATATTTAAATAGTATATATACAATGCGTTCCTCATATTTTTTTAAGAACTGAAAGCGAAATTTGCTATATGACCGTTTTACTTGTAAATTTTACCTTGGTTTTTCTTTTTTTTTTTTCAGAGCTCTCTTTGCAATGATCAATAGAAACCTTGTGACAGTGAAAAATCCAGGTACTATGACCATTAAACCTTTTGTTTTATCTCCTATAATATTATTGTTTTGCTCGAACAAATGTTCTTATCTTTTTTTTGTTCAAACTGTCCTTGTTTCCTTTTACAGAAACTCAGTCTACCTTCTCTGAACCCAGGAGTCAAAGTGAACCAGATCGAGGGCCTGGGGTAAACATTTGTTTTAATGCTCAACACACATAGAACCTCAGAGTATTGACCCATTCCACAGAGTTGCCCTGGTAGTGCTGCGTTTGTGCTTGAATGGGTTTTATAGAGCTCCTGTTGTGTTTGAGATTGCGGCATGACTGAAACCCAACTGTCTGTTCCAGGATACAGATTCAGACTCTCGCTCATCTACCTCACAACAGCAGCGCAGGAGGAGGAGGAGCAGTGATCCTGGTAATCGCACACACCACAGAGCAAAATACACACAAACCAGCTGTGTCCTGTTGGGTGTGTATGAAAGCACATGCTTGATCTGCTGAGTCTGATGGGATTTCAGATAGAGTTGTATCTTCACACTCAGCTGTCTCTTAACAAATGTTTTGAGTAGTGCTTAACGTTCAGTGTTCTTTCCAGTATTTGCATATTTCCTGTTTAAACAGGAAGGGCTTGTCCCTGTCTTTTATTTTTGTTAGCCAGTGTCCTTTTGAAATTTTGCATTAAATGGCTGTTAAATAAAATAGCTGTTTTTAGATTATGATGCCCGGATTGTTTGTTTTTCATATGAGTTTTGTAAAAAGGTTGAGGCAACTCCTTTCTTTAAGGACTGTTTGCTTTTTTGCCCTATATATATACGTATATCCAATTTACATTATAACAGTCTCAGCCGTTGAGTTGAGAAGACAATCCTCATAATGTATAATTTTGTAGTTCCTTCAGTCCTGACAGAGGACTTTATGTGCCATGTGGGTAAACATGTGGTACCATAGTGACTGCTCTCTCTCTGACTGTGAACCTCTCAAAAGGACATTGAGATCTGGAGGCTGTACAGAATGTGCTCAGATGACTGCTGCTCTTCAATAGCCCATTTTAAAACCCCAACTATGCACACAAAGGCAGTTTGTTGAGCAAGCAGCGCCAGATGCACCATTAAAACAGGGTTATTGCTCTGAGCATTGCTCCTGCATGGCCCATAAATGTCCAAAGTTGAGTGCATAGAAAAAGACCATCAGCAAATTAACTGATTTACACTAATGCATTAAGCAGTATACACTCAAACTTGTGTTTTTGTAAACGCACAAACTTGGAAAGCCTTAAGAAGCAGTCTATTCTGGTCCACCTACTGAGCAATTATATGTGAAATCCCTCATAAGGACACGTGTCCAAAAGCAGATTAGTTCTAAACTCAGCTTGGTTTCAATAGAGAGTTCTTCAGCCGAAGACGAGCCTAGAGAACGCAGGAAAAGGCACAAGTCAGACAGCTTCTCCCTGACATTTGATGACAGCCTGTCTTGGTGTGTGATCGGCGGCCTGCACCGGGAGAGGAGGAACAGCGAGTCTTCAGATGCACACAGCAACTCTGTGAGTAGCACCTTTAAATGGCCCTTCACATAGTTTTGTTTTAGCAGTGGTTACATTAACCTGTTTGTGCTGTCTTGTGGCCCTCTCTGACCAGTGTTTTGTTTGTTCAACAGGATGTAGGTATCTCTCACAGTGAAGGCAGTGATGAAAGTGAGGACTCGGACTCTGATAATTTCAGTGTGGAGTTTGAGGTGGAGTCCATCAACTCCGATGCCTACAGTGAGAACGATGAGGATTCGTTGCCGGGAGAGAACGAGGTTTCAACTCAACTCCTGCTCTATTGAGAGAGATATTTAACAGACATCCGGATACATTTGAAAACCGTATTTTCAAAATGCTCTCTGTCCGCAGTAGCGTCTTCAAGCATTTTCCACAAAGTTTCTTGTCCACACTGAGACATCTGAAAATGTTCAAATCTTCTTACTGCGCGTTAAATGTAATAAAAGATCACTGAGATAACTCGTAATTATTCTTGCACATTAATTTTATTAGCGGAAAAAGCATTTTCAAATGCATCCACTTAGGAGAGTGTCTTTAAAAGTCACCTCATTGTGGATGGAGAGCCAAAATGTATAGAATTATTATTATTTTTTTATGTATCCGGCTTAGTGTAGAAGTAGCACAAGGTAGCACTCCTTCCCCTGGAGGGCCCTTGTCCTGCAGAGTTCAGCTCCAACCCCAGTTAAACCCACCTGAAGTAACTAATCATTGTTTTTCAATACATACTTCCAAGCAGGTGTGTTGAGGCAAGCTGGAGCTAAACTCTGCAGGACAGTGGCCCTCCAGAACAGAGATACTCCTGACGTAGCCTGAAGAATCTGTTTAACAGTACTTAACTCACTGCAATTTTTCTTTTGCTCATTCAGGTGTATGAAGTCACAATCATCGCTGAGGATGAAGACTCGTTTGATGAGGATACTGAGATAACTGAGGCAGTATGTGGCAATTTACTTCAATAATGAAAGCAGAACTGGACTTTATCCAGATAAACTGATAAACTGAATGAATCTATTATGATTAGATTGGATCGTGAAAAGGGGGTGTTGCATACTATTGTGGTGCCATTTGGATCAAAGGTTGCGGGTTAAAAATAAGAGGCTTTTGTGAGTCTGCCAAAAAATAAAGTTGTTTCAAAGAAGCAGCTAATGAATTGGGTGTAATATATAACCAGGAATGTGCATTAATAACTTACATTTGGATTTCATGTGTTGACCATATTTTAAACTTTTATAGCATTTAATGTTAAAAGTTTCTTGCACCAAAACCAGTTTTTCATGTCCATTTCCATTCTTTAACTGACCCTTGGATTTAACAGGCTTTTGTATTTCAAAAGAGCAAGAAAAATGTGCTTGTGGATAGTAGATATGAAAAATCTGTACTAATGCAACAATGTGTTCACTCAGGATTACTGGAAGTGTGCTGAATGTGACGTGCTCAACCCTCCTCTTCCACGGCATTGCAAAAGCTGCTGGAACGTCCGACCCGGTTGGCTTCCAGAATCAGACTCCAACAATGAAAACCCCTCCACTAACACTCAAACCAGCACTGAGCTCACCAGCATCACCACAACAACCATCTTTGCCTCAGGTGACAAAATGCTTCCTTCCAAACCCTCAAGCCCTCTTCCAGAAACAGATGAAGGAGTGGACGTACCCGACGGCAAGTGCTTGCAATCTCCCGTCTCCGCCGCCAAAGAAGTAGTTCCCTCTTCTGCCACCCCCGGCTCCCTGACTGACTCTCAGACCTCGTCATCGCAGCCCTCCACCTCCTCTGGTGGGGGCAGCAGCCAGGAAGAGACCCCTGAGCTAGAGCGCTTCAACAGCCTGGAGGCCTGCCTGCCTGCCACATGCCTCGAGCCCTGCGTCATCTGTCAAAGTCGCCCCAAGAATGGCTGCATCGTCCACGGAAGGACTGGACACCTTATGGCGTGTTACACTTGCGCTAAGAAATTAAAGAACCGGAACAAGTTGTGTCCGGTGTGCCGAGAGCCCATTCAGTCAGTGGTGTTGACCTACGTGAGCTGAGGCACTGCAGATATACCTCCACTCCTCTGCTTTCCTCACATGAAGTCTGGGAGGCTCCTATGTTGCCTTGTCTTAGTTCTTCTTGTTCAAATTTCTTAATGATTAATTAATTTTATTTATGACTCAAGCGAGGTTCTCACTCTCATGCTGGTTAGAAAATACACATTTATGTTTGGGTTGAGTTTAAGGGCTTAGAATTTAAACAACTACTTGTGGACTTGGAGTGATGTTAAATGCATTATATCATCTACTAGAAATGTTTGTAATTATTTAATTTATGTACATGCTGATGTATTGGTTTCTCCGATTTATGATAATTTGAGTTCTTTGCTGCACTGAAATGAGTTTCTGAGCTCTTGTGACACCCCTTTTAAATTGCTCCTCCTCTTGGGGGAAATACTCCCCAGCATTGTTTTCTGCTGCAAAGACTGTCTTATTTTCTCTAAATGAGGCATAATAAATGATTATTTTGAGGCTCTTGCACATTTACAGTACAGGTGATTGCTCTTTTGACTGATTTTGTTTTCTGAACGGTGTGTAATGGTTTCAGCCAATGGGCTTTAAAAAGGTGGTTCAGGTGGCTGTTTGTTGGGTCATACAAAGCGGTCACCCAGAGAGAGCTTTGGTTTCTAGGGACCCACTTTTCACTTAATATCAGCAAACAAGTTCTGACTTGTTTCTCTCTAATAGCAACTTGGCACAAACTTCCGCCTCCTTACATTTACAAAAGGCTTTACAATGGGAATCTATTGTGTTGCAGCATGAACAATTGAATCGTTTGTATTCTCTATGCGTGTTTAATTGATGAATATTTCTTCCACCACCTATTTAACAATTCTGTTTAAAATTAGCTTTTTTTTAAAAAGAACAAAAGAAAGAATAAAAAGAAGCACTTGCACTGATTACTCATTGTCATGGTAAGATTTTGGATTTTTTTTTTCTTTTCTAAAAATGTTCAAAAAGACTAATCCAGTTCTGTTTCTGCAAGTTATTAGAGTACAAATGTCACCTAATGTGACGTTTAAGTTGAATCTTGCTGAGTAGCAACTTGCCAAATGAACCTGAAAAGTTTACACTAATAGTTATTCTCTTTTCTAACCGCCAGATGTTCTACAAATGAAGTGCTATCAGAAGTTCTCACACTTGAGGTATGTAATTTCACTCTCTGCTCTCTTCTACTCGCACAACCTGAACAATTGCAGACTAAGACTTGGTAAAAACCACCAAAATCATAAGATGCAAAGGATGAAATAAGTTTATAATCATAAAATAAATAGTATTATATGCATTTTGTTTATGACCCATGTTTGAATCCAGTTTAACTGTTTTATGATAGTAACTTATTAAATGGATATGATTTATGCTACTTATTGAATTCTATACACTTCCTTTAATTTCACCAAAGTCTTACCATACACTTCCTGTACCCATGAGACCTGATGGATGTGCTTTACAAAAAAAAAATGATTACAAATTCTTTAATAAAAATTATAGAAAAAATGGCTTGCCCTGTGTCAACATATTTTGACTATGTAAACTTCAAATGTTCAATTCCCACCCCGTTGCTTAGACATGTCTGTTTAGGGAATCTGCCTGAATGAAATTTCATCTCACTTTAAAGCATGTAATTAAAATATTTTAGAGAAATAAGGTTGTAAGTTTTAAATGAAAGTATTTAATGGTGTTTTGTGACTTCGCCCAACTATGCACTTAAAAGAAAATGACATCTGAAATCTGACTATTAAACTACGTTTTCCTTTATATCTTGTTGCTAAGCCTTTCATCTGACAATTCAATGGCCGAGAGCAACCATGCACTTATCTGAAATGCTTTTAAAATGGAATAAGGCTACACAATTGCCAACATGAACCTGTTATCTGATTCATGCTACACAACAAAGGATTTATAGAGTGCATCCAGAAAGTATTCAAACCCCTTAATGTTTTCTCCACATTTTACATTGTAGTTAAAATGTGACATTTAACTACACACATGTTCTATCCCCAGTCGAAAACAGGTTATAAATAACAGTAAATGATGTTTGATTTTATCGTAAAAATGTCATATGTATATGGAAAGTCCTCATAAAACGGGTGTGTGTCATCATCCTGTAACCTCTGGGCAGATTCACAGTGCCACTTCATCTATTAAAAATCTGCCTCAGTTTTAGAAGACTTTTAGGTTAGTGGGAATTCTTAGTAAAATAATAAAAACACTGGCGGCCATATGCCACTCATATTTTTTTCACCATGTTTGTAGGTCCATAGGACGACAAAGCATTTCTCTCGAAGCTATGCAAATCAATCTTTCATGTGATGTGTGCAGTGCTCATATTTTGAGACACTCGGATGCTGTCACTCTGCCAGATTTTTCTTACCAACAAATTTGTCATAAAAACCACAGAGTCACTACATTTTAAACAACTCAATTCCCCAATTCTGAAGATACAAAGTGTAAAACCAACAACAACTTCAATTCCTCCAGGTCTCGGCGTATTTAGAAGGCTATTCTTTACCGCAGTCACAAATGCTACGTCGTGTCACACACACCTGCTCACACTTGTAACAGCTGTGAGGTTGCAATAATATGATCTTAAAGTAAAGGTTTTAAACATAAATAAAGTGTTTACACAGCAATGCATTGGAAGAAGTAATAACTTTTCAATTAACAGTTCTTAAAAGAAAACGAGATGATCCATCTCAAGGGGTTAATCCTATTCAATAAACTTGTATCAATCAAAAGAAACCCCAATGGGTGTGAAGAATATTAGCCTAATCCCACGAACCGTTCAGTTGGAAGGTTCTGTTGATGTTACAGGTTCTTCATCATGAAACCATTAATGCCATTAAATAACCTTTATTATTAAGGTGTACGTGAACAATTTAAATTAAACTGCAGCATATGATTCGTTAGTTTAATACTGTGTAAGACTCGCGCAAGACTTGAGAGAGATGAAGCACAATTGAAGTACAATTACTAGTCAACCGAAAATTCAAACCCTATTAGATCAATTCCTTGCCGCTCCTTTCCCGCACAATAGTGAAGGTACAAACCTAGAAGTAGACAAGCTGAACAGAATATTTGAGGTATCAGCAACATTATCCAACTTAAAAACAACAAAAAGAAAACCAAAAGACAACCTGCCACTGAGAAATGGTTTGACAATGACTGCAGAAAACTTAGATAAGAATTAAGAAAGACATCCCAAACAGAATCTGGCTAAAAATAATCAAAACCATAACAGAGCCCATCGCGCTGTACGGGTGTGAAGTCTGGGGTCCACTCACAGACCAAGAGTTCACTAAATGGGACAAACACCCAAACAGACCGAGCTGTGCAAAATCTTGCTACGTGTTCAGCGCAAAACCCCAAAATAATGCCTGTAGAGCAGAATTAGGATTATACCCCCTTATAATTACCATTCAAAAAAGAGCCATTAAATTCCATGCCCACTTGAAAAATAGAGATAAACAGACCATCACAAAGCCCTGACCTACCAAGAGCTGAAGCCAGAGAAGAACGCCCTCGGCAAATTGGTCTTAGAGCTCACGTCACAAACGGACAGTAAAAACATAGTGACCCCAAACCAAATAACTAAAACACAAAAAGAAAAATACCTCAAACATTGGACAGACGCAACAGCCAGAAAGAGTAAACTGGAATGCTATTTGGCCCTAAACAGAACATATGAATTGGCAGGATACCCGAGTACAGTGAGCGACCCGAAACTGAGGAAAGTCCTGAGCATGTACAGACTCAGTGAACACAGTCTGAGCATCGAGACAGGCAGACACAGGCAGACCTGGCTGCCGAAGGAAGAGCGACTGAGCCCTCACTGCACAGAGAACCAAGTGGAGACAGAGGTTCACTTTTTGACATCCTGCCCCAAATATGTAAACAATAGAGACACTTTCTATCCCCTTTTCACAACGTACCACAAAGACTTCCATCAGAAATGTAATATAGATAAACTCCCACTCCTGCTAGGAGAAAGCCCAGCGAGCTGAAACCTGGCTACCAGATACGTGAGGTCCTGTCACGAAGAAAGAGCCTCCAGCAGGACAGAGACTGCAAACTACACGCCTAGAGACACTGTGTAAATATTAGAAGATTGAACTTTTTTATTGCAATGCTTATCTCCATGTAAAAAACAAAACAAAAAAAAACTTCTCCTTTATTTTTATTTTTATAATTATTTACTTATTTGTATTCAATAGTGTTATGAATGATTTGGCAATGTAAAGATTTCTTTCACCATGCCAATGAAGCTATTTGAATCTTGAATCTTGAAGCTCTGAGATGTGGCCAGTTCGAGAGTGCCACCGCTAGAGGGCACTGTGACACTGACTGCATTCTCATACAGCACTATATTCTCATTAGTAGTCCACCCTGTCACAATAATTTGTGCCTCATATTTGAACGCATTAGTATAATAAATAAGTAATTAAAAAAAAAAATTCACATGGCGACTGAAGCGTTATTATTATTATAATTATCAGTATTATTTATCAACCAGTAGCACTGATAGTTTTATCCAATGGGCCTCACACTGATTTTATCTTCATATCATCATTAAAGACGTATAGCTCCGTTGCAGCTATATCAATAAAAAAAACTGAACCTTTGTATGAGAGTAAAGCAGTTCAAAGGAAAAAGTAACTAATTATGTATTGATGGCATGTGAGTGTGTACATGGATGTATAAAATAACTACTATTAATTTATAATAAGACCTGTGATGTCTCCGCAACACACTCTCTCTCACACACACACAAAGGAGTGTGTGTGTGCCTGTGTGTGAGAAAAAGTGTGTGTGTGCATGCATGATGCGTGTGTGCGAAATGAAACGAAATGTCTAATCTCTCTGTTCCTCTAAACATATTGGAAAGCCAAATCCATAATCCTAATAAATAAAACCAACAGTGCTGGAAAATAGAGAAGTTTTTTTCTAATGTCTGTATATTCAAAACCTAATTTCACATTTATAACTCATGTTTGCATAATTTAAACTAGTGTACAACCCATTGTATTCCGCAGCCAAGATAATGATAAAATATTGGCATATTTATATGATTCACAGCCGAAAAATAAAATGCAGCAGTCATCGGACTAAAATAAAAGCATTCACTGCTGAAATAACTATAAAGAAAAACAGACAGACATTTTTTATTTATCCCTGGAGGGAAATTCATGGCATTTGTCATAGGAAAAACAAAACGGCACAAAAAAAAAAAAAAATCACCAGAAAAATGACTGTATGCTAAACAGTGTCTTGCTTGACACGTACCACTGAGCATCTAAATCCACATTTAACTATCGCTTTCTTGCAGAAGGTTGGGGATGAGTGTCCTGGCCATGAGCAGGCCGAAGGTTCTGGGACGGTCACACACACACAAGTACAAGCAGATCCTGGACAACATTTGTCCTGTTTGTCAGCTAAGCGATCACTATCACAAGTTGAAACCCTTTGTATGCTTTCTTTATGACTATATCCTACAGTTATGTATATTTCATAACCATATTAGGTGAGTTTATATGAAAGAGTTGTGTCAGGTGAAATGAGGCATCCTCAAAAATATCACTGAAAAAAAAAATATTTCACGATTTGTAATCTCAACTTTTTGTCTTTTGTCAGATAATGTGGTTCATATAACAATATTTTGAGTTTCTATTTACAAAACCAATCTCATTTGTTGAATTAACTATTTTTTTAAGTTCAAAACTCAAAATACTTTAAATTAAACCAACTTTTTTACAGTGTAGAAAACACAAAAAAAAAAAAATCAAAAAAGTATTTAATAATGTATAAAAATAAAATGCTAATTGAGAGAAAAAGTTTAACGTCACAATCTAATGAAGTATAGGAACAGTTATTTTCTTTCATTTTGTGACGTACATGTAAA